TGCCTCCCGTGGTGCAATGTTTAGTACACACGCCTCACAAACCAATTCGCGACTATAAGAAGCAAGACGAACACCTGAATAAAAGATGTGAGTTACGAACTGGAGATGTCAAAATCAAGCAACTAGAAAAATTTAACTGATTGGGAAGTTTCTACCTCAATTTCTGCGATGAAGAGTTATCATTATTTACACCATTTATATTCGGATTATTGTCCTCATCTTTGTTGTTATTATCACTAAATCGTCTTCTGTCTTAATTTCTGGGATAAGATGTTATCATTATTTAGAGTATTTACGTTCGGACTATTGTCATCTTCTTTCTTTTTATTACCACCTAATCGCCTTCTGTCTTAATTTCTGGGTTGAGGTGTTATCATTATTTACAGTATTTACGTTCGGACTACTGTCCTCATCTTTCTTTTTATTACCACCTAATCGCCTTCTGTCGTAATTTCTGGAATGAGATGTTATCATTATTTACACTATTTACGTTCGGAATATTGTCCTCATCTTTGTTGTTATTATCATCCAATCATCTTTTGTCTTAATTTCTGGGATAAGAAGTTATCATTATTTACACTATTTACGTTCGGACTATATCATCAACGTTTCGCACATTGTGTCACCCGGCTTTACTCAGATGGATATCGATCCGTGTAAACTTCAGTGAATTCCAAACTGAGTTCTTTATTTAATTTATGCGGTTAGAGAAATATATTGTTTAATTCTTATTTTTAGTACTGCTAAGTTATTGGTTGCCCCGTTTCCGCTGAGTCCAAGTACACACTGCCTGGCCCAAGGATTGAACTCACAATCACTATACCACCGAATTCATGAACCAACGCTTTAATACACTCTGCTGTTGTCGCGTAACCTAGTTGACTAAAGCGTATACAAAGCATTGGTTCATGAATTCGATGGTATAGCGATTGTGAGTTCAATCCCTGCACCTGGCAGTGTGTACTTGAACTCAGTTAAAACAAGATGAGCAATAACTGAGCCGTACTAAAAATAAGAAACTAGACGTGAGCCGTGGAACGATAACAATCTACCGCCATAGATTAAACAAATGGGTTCAGTTCAGAATTCCTTGTAGATTAGTCGGATCTATATACACCTGATGATGGCCAGAGAACACAATGACCAAAATGTTGTGATAACAACAAAAATGAGGACAATAGTTAGGAATGCAAATAGTGTAAATATCTGGGAAATGTTTTAACAAGCGGCCTAAAATATGACAGGAAAACGCATTGGAATAACGTAAGATGCCTTCCAAAAGCCAAGCAAAGTATTAAGAAACATTGAATATTTCATTAAAAACAAAAAAACTGTGTTGAACTACTATGTAACATCAAATCCTCTTATATCAGTGGTCGGCAATGTGGCACGCCACACAATTTCCAGTAGCACGCAGCCGCAAATGACATCACGAAGTCCGAACCAATAACTACTACAACGCAAAGAAGATATTTAATTGTTTCAATTTAAATATATACGAAAGTATATATACTATATACAATGCAACCTCGGTTCTCGAACGCCTCACATGTCGAACAAATCGGTTTTCGAACAGAAAATTCGAGATGAAAATGCCTCGGTTATCGAACAAAATTTCGGTTCTCGAACAACATTGCCGAACCGAGTTAACCCGAGTCGGCCGCTGTATTGTATACATTCGTGTGTTGTGCTGTGTTTTTCTTTTCGAATTTTATTGTACTGTGACTTTTTTCTATACAGTGATTCCTATTGGAAAAATAGTTTCGGTTTACGAACATTTCAGGTTACGAACGGCCTTCAGGAATGAATTAAATTCCTGTATTACTATATAAGATATATTGTAGAACAGGTATATTGACCTTGACTTGTATAAAAATACGTATGCTGTTGGCACACTAAATGATTTTAAAACCCTAACATAGTCAGCAAAAGGTTGCCGACCCCTGTCTTATATGACAGTAAATCTTGGACAATTTCTTCACGGATGAAAACAACACTAGAGGCAACAGAAACGTGGTTCTAGAGAAGGATGCTGAGTATACTATGGACTGAACATGTGGACAATGTGAATGTTTTAAGGAAAATGGAAACAGAATGGCTATCCACTCACATAAGCCAGACAGGTAGGGGGCCTTCCCACTGTCCCTTTTGCTTTCAATATGTCCTGTGAGTGTTGAATTCTCCAAGCCTTCTTTCCTTATTATGTGTCCCATAAATTTCAGGTGTCCCTTTCTGATTCTAAGTATGAATCTCACTTTTGTTTCAATTTCCTTAAAACTTTCTCGTTGCTTGCACGCTCTGTAATGGTATTCTCAGCATCCTTCTGTAGAACCACATTTCTGTTGCCTTGATTTCTTTCTTCATCTGTGAGGAAATTGAGATTTTTTCTCTTGCTGGCATCCATACATTTTGTCTTTTTACAATTGCTAGTTAGTCCTTTCTTCCCACTTTCCTTTACTACCTTGTTAGTACATGTAGTTTTCTTTCCCTGTCTGCATATCTTATATTGTGCCCACCTATAATAAACTTTGATAAAACCTTCAGTTCCCTTACGATAGCCTAGCTGTAATGGTTGAAGTCCGGTGAAAAGAAACTTCATTGTCTTACGCCCCTTTCAGTTTTATGTAGCTACGTAATTCATTTTCTATACATATGAAAATGGTTTACTCCTTATATAAGTTCTGGATTATGCGAATATGCTTCCCAAACACATCAAGTTTTCCTAGTAGTTCAAATAGGTCTTTGTGTCGAAATTTGTCAGATGCTTTTGCGTAATCTATTAAACATAAGTGCACGTCCTTTTGCATTTGTATTGTGGTCTACCTCTCTCTCTCTCTCTCTCTCTCTCTCTCTCTCTCTCTCTCTCTCTCTCTCTGATATAATTCTGATCATAAATATTGCATTTCTTGTTCCAGTATCCTTGACAAACCGCACTGTTCTTGTCCTATTTCTGATCTAATTCTACTCCGAGTTCTGTTCATCAGAATTCAGAATAATAGCTTAGTTATGTGGCTCAATCTGATTTTCCGATGGATTATTAGCGAGAAAAGTTAGCAACGAGCCCGAGTTACACTTAAATAACTTTAGGGAGAACTAGAAGTAAGTAGAGTAAAAGTGAGTACGGATACAATTAGTCGTTCACTTCGTCGAGGACTCCAAGGAAAAAAAAACACTTCTTATGCGAAAACAAGTTCTTGTTAGACTGGATTTTTCAAACGAGCATTGTATCAAACCTGCAGCATTTTGGGCAAATGTTCTTTGATCAGACGAAACAAAAATTGAGCTTTTTGACAGAAATGCTGTGGCAAAGGTCTGGAGAAAGAAGGGTACTGAATATTTGCCGAAAAATATTATCCCAACAGTAAAATTTGGAGGCGGACCAATCATGACCTGGGGTTGTTTTAGTGTCCAATTTGTAGGGAACATTGAAATAATAGAAGGGAGAATAAATGGATCATATTATAGGAATATTTTGGAGAGAAATTTACGTCAGAGTGCACATTCGCTGGGCTTGAAACCAGGTTGGGTCTGTCAACAAGACAACGATCCTAAACATACTGCAAAGCTTACAAAATCATGTTTAAGTTTAAATAGAATAGAGACTCTAAAATGGCCAAGTCAATCTCTAGATCTCAATACGATTGAAACTTTATGGGGAGAGCTGAAACTAAGAATTCAAAGACGGAACCTGCAAAACCTTCGGTAACTAAAGGAATTTTGTCGTGAGGAATGGAAAAATATTATCCAAGAAACATGCAAGACATTCGTAGGGGGTGGGGGGCTACTCTAAACCTCTACATGTTGTAATTAGCAATAACGGCCACGCTACGAAATATTAATAGATGATTTAATAAATGTATTGTAAAATTTTGTGTTATTAAATATTGTTTTTTCTTCGTGGGATATTTTTACTGATTATTTTTTAAATCTGATTGTTTGACTAAAGGCTTAAACATATGTATTATTAGCAGTAATCTGTGTTAGAAATACCCCAAGAAACTTTAGTAATGTGCTGTAAACTTTTGTGTGGCACTGTAGATAGATAGATAGATAGATAGATAGATAGATAGATAGATAGATAGATAGATAGATATGAACAGAGATCGATAGATAGAGATAAAAAAATGAACAATCTATTTATCCATGTTACTGCAAATTTATCTATCTATCTATCTATTTTTATTAATTATTTAATTATTTGAATACAATTTTCTTTCAGATAATCTCTAAAGAACCAGGTCGGTTAACATTAATTTCACTGTTTAGCGATAGCAACTCAAATATGTGTACTCACTAAATATAACATTTATAGTAATAGATAGATAGATAGATAGATAGATAGATAGATAGATAGATATGAATAGGCTTAGATAGATAGATAGATAGATAGATAGATAGATAGATAGATATCGCTTGGTAAAACTGCTTTGTTGTGTCTGTTGTGCATTCAAAAAAACGAACGATATTTTTTCGTCTCGTAAAATAGATTAGAGGGAGCGAGCTGTAATAAATTTACAAATAAAATTGTAAGAAAAATTGCTTGTCAATTTAGAATTGCCCTTACAACTGACAGATTGCGGAAATGACTTCGATGCATCAGACACGCCTTCTACTTGCCTATGAAGTTTTGACACCCACGACACAAAAGGCAAAGAATATTGAATTAATTTTTTTTAAAAAGACATGACACGATCGTTGTTCGAGAGATTTTTTTATTTTTATTTCCGACTTGTTTTTTGTTTTGTGTTTTTACAATTACTCAAAATAAGAATGGTTTTGTCTGCAAAGTGAATACGTTGCATTGTTTTCATTGCCTTGATTTTCTTTGAAAGGTAAAGAGTCAATCTGGCAGGACCAAGGTAATCTTAGTGCATCGATATACAGAATGGTTGTGCATGGTAGTGTGTGTGTGTGTGTGTGTGTGTGTGTGTGTGTGTGTGTGTGTGTGTGTGTGTGCCTGTCCTTATGCATCTGCATATGCGAGCTTGCGTATTTGTACAATGCGTATCCGTCTGTGTGCGTGTCGGAGTACGTTCAAAGGTAGAAATAGGTGTATGCGAATTTCGCTCCGAATGCAAACCCCGCTATTCTACTATTTTAGCTCGGCATGCCATAGGTGAATATTGTTAACATGACGGTAAAAGCCAAACTTTCTCGCGAATAAGTTCACCTTTTTGCTACAGATATCGAGTTAACGGCAGTCTGGTAAAGTATCGTTTGACGTGAATATGCATGTTGTTTTATAACTAATTAAAATGACGCCAGTTGGGAGTTATTTTTTTTTTTTGTTTTTTTTTCAACTTATTAAGTAGTTATGCTGGATTCAAATAAACGTTCCATCGGAAATCTTTTTTATATATAGGTTTAATAAGCGCAGAACAAAATAATCGTGCCGCTGAGAATATTATACAATCTGGGTAAGAACAAGAACCACAGGTAAGCAGATGGTGAAAGTCATACCTGTTCTTTCTCCATAAAACAGCTTATTCTTCCCCCTTTTATACATACCTATTATTCCATACCAATCAAGGCAATAAAGCCTCTAAGACACAAGTGTTTACTGAGTGTGAAGGAATATGATAAAAAGAAGACATTATTACGGAGAGAGAACAATAAAAGGACAGGAATTAAGAAAACAGAAGATAACGATTGACATTGCATTTGAATTTTTGAAGATCAAAGTTGACTGAAAATTAAGAATCCGAAAGAGATTTTCACAAGCGAGAAGTGAGAGAAGGAACTGTTAGCATCGAACTTACGGTTACGTTTAGCCGCTCCAGCTATTAAATGATGAGCTTACTGCCAATCTAGTATTGCGCTTAAATTCATAATTGTTAGGGACCAAAGAGGTAAGCTCATCAAAATTACCTTGAAAATATTTATAGAAAAGACACAGGGAAGCTACGTTGTGGCGGTGCGGAAATGACTGGGACCGAGATGCCAGGACAGGAGCCATAACATTGCAGATTCTTCTTTCTATTTTATTAAGGATTTCTAAATACATAGCAGAAGTACCAAACCAGATGTGGCGGCAATATTCAATGCATGGACAAATGACAGTCTTATCTTATAAAAGATCTCTCTCTCTCTCTCTCTCTATCTATCTATCTATCTATCTATCTATCTATCTATCTCCCCATCTTTTCTCTCTCTCTCTTTCTCTCTCTCTCCCCCACGTCTGTTTCCATTTACTCCCGCATCCTTTCTTTCTTTAACAAGCGTTCCCTATATCATATCAATTCCTCCCTCTCTTTGCCTTTCACTCTCCTCTTCTCTCTCTCTCTTTGTCTCTGTCTGAGCTGTGTTGCGTTTAATATTACACTCATCGCTTATCCACATTCAATAATTCCTCTAACTTGTTTCATTCCTTTTCATTATTACGGTATTATCTCTTCTATTTAACAACGGTGGAGTAATAGGTAACGGCTCGGATTGAGGAATCAGAGAGCCGAGTTCGAATTCAAGTCGAATCAATTGCATTCACTTACGTGCTAATATCCTCGAGAAAGTATAGATCCTCTTCATCTCTCTCCAGCTATGGGTAAATAGCAGAACAGACCGGGTTCTATAGCCTTGGATGGCGACTGGTCTAATGCAGAAAGAAATGGTAACCTACATGATCGCCTAAGCGTGTATCACGCATGATACATGACTGACTGACTGACTATGTATTTGGGTAAGGGTTGAGTTCTTTAGATCAAACTTTTAGGTACAAATTTTGTTCACGATGGAGAGTTTCCCTCCGAAAATTCAGCTTTTTTATTTTATTTTCTTATCATGCTTCCATTTGGTTAAAAGGCCTACTGATATACAGTAATCAAAGAACTAACAATTTTCCATTTCCAGTCTATCAGAAATTAGCCGTTTTCTGCCAGTCCCTAATTTATTCTCAACACAATGAGTCTCGTTGTACTTCTTGACAATGCTACGAATTGTCGATGTAGAAATATTTAAACGTTTGAAAAGTGTTGCATATTCATCACCTTGTTTGTACGCATCACCTATCTTCATTCAGAACTTCTTCTCAAGTCCAGCTGTCTTCGCTATGGTCGCAGAACGAATGAGTTATCATGGTACGTGGCACTTACATTTTGTCTTCTTCGTTACTCTTTAGAATGTTATAGAATCAGCTTAATACTATTTCATTTTCAAAGGGTGTTATTTATTAAATGTCAAATTAAGAAAAAAGAACATTACAATTATCATAGAGCAATATTATTTCATAATTTATATAAGGTGGGTGGCGAATAATTTGGGACAGCACCAATTTTCAGAAAAACCTGTAACTATGAATATAATAGATCAGAACTTCTAAAAATTTCACGAATTATTCAAAACTAAATACGGAATCAACTATTTATGCTAAATTCAGTAAGTACTTGCAAATATTAGCATTTAATATTAGAAAATATGCAAATATTCAAAAGGGCGAATAATTCTGTCCACAAATATATTTATTTTAATCGAATTCACCCCAAGCAAGGCAGGAAATCCACTAAGACACAAGGGGTTACTGGGCGAGGAATAAGTAGAAAGCAGAGACATTACTAAGGAGCGGGAACATTAGAAGAATAATCATGTATACAGTAGATAGCGACTGACATTGCATTTAAATATCTAGAAGATTAAAGATGGCCGGAAAGCGTGGAGCCGGGAGGGTGTTCCACAAGCGGGAAGTGCGAGAAAAGAAACATGGTTGCAACTCAGCTTTAAATTGATGAGACCTCATCGCCAGTCTGGTACTGCGCTTAAATTCATAAAGTCTTGGTATCATACCAAAGAGCTCACCCGAACAATTAGTATGAAAGTATTTATAGAAGAGGCATAAGGAAGCAACATTACAACAGTGGGAAAGTGACTGGAGGCGAGATGACAGATCAGGACCAATAACATTGCAAATTCTTTTTGGTATTTTATCCAAAATATTTAAATATATAGTAGGAGCACTGTGGCAGTTATAGTCTAAGTGTAGACGAAAGGTAGACTTATAGATATGTGAGATAGTTTCTGGGGAGAAAAATTATCTATGAAGGTTATCATCTTTGGTGACAGGAGCAGAAAGTCCAGACACTCTGTCCATTTCAAAACTCCCCCTTCTCATCATAAATTCAGCCGTTTACTTTTACACTGCTCTTAAAGCTGCAGCGTCATCCTCTAAAGTAGCAACCATGTCAACATGAATGTCCTGGGCGGGTAAACATTGTTTTTTGCAGGTACTTTATGACACCACGACGCCAAATTTTGTCCATTTTCAAGAGAGGTCACTACGAGTCACATTTGAAGTTTTCTTTGAACAGTGAGATAACAGTTTTCATGGAAAGAAACAATTAATAAGAGGTGATATTGATGCATGAAAAATTTCACAGCTGTAGTATCATTCTTTCGTGGTCAGCCGTTGAACATTTCAGCCTATCCTCTTATTATTAAAATGATTTGGAATTAATACATTTAAGATTTCACAGCTCAAGCATCATTCCTTCATAGTTAGCCTATGAACATTTCAGCCAAACCTCTTTTTTAATAAGAGTTGGAATTAATGCATGCAAGATTTAACAGCTCTAGCATCACTCCTTCATCGTCAGCCTCTGAAATTGTCAGCCCACCCTCGTTTTCATATGAAGGGTTTGAATGCATGCAAGATGTCACAGCTCTAGCATCACCCCTTCATAATCAGCCTATGCACATTTTAGCCTATCCTGTTATTAAGATAATTTGGAGAATGTATTTAAGATTTCACAGTTCAAGCATCATTCTTTCATAGTCAGCCTATAAACATTTCAGCCTCTCCTCTTATTATTAAGATGCTTTGGAATTAATGCATGCAGGATTTCACTGCTCAATCATCATTCCTTCATAGTCAATCTATGATGAACTTTTCAGCCCAACCTCTTTTTAAAAAGAAGAGTTGAAATTAATGTATACAAGATTTAACTGTTCTAACATCACTCCTTCATAGTCAGCCTCTGAACTTTTCAGCCCACCCTCGCTTTAATATGAAGGGTTTCAATTCATGCAAGATTTCACAGCTCTAGCATCACTCCATAATCAGCCTATAAACATTTCAGCCTATCTTATTATTATTAAGCTGATTTGAAATTAATGCATTTAAGATTTCACAGCTCTAGCATCACTCCTTTATAGTCAGCCTATGAACATTTCAGCCTATCTTCTTCTTATTAAGATGATTTAAAATTAATGCATTTAAGATTTCACAGCTCTAGCATCACTCCTTTATAGTCAGCCTATGAACATTTCAGCCTATCTTCTTCTTATTAAGATGATTTAAAATTAATGCATTTAAGATTTCACAGCTCTAGCATCACTCCTTTATAGTCAGCCTATGAACATTTCAGCCTATCTTCTTATTAAGATGATTTAAAATTAATGCATTTAAGATTTCACAGCTCAATCATCATTCCTTCATAGTCAGCCTCTGAACTTTTCAGTTCACTCCCGTATAACCGAAAATTTAGGAATATATTTTTATTCTATCAGCCTTTATGAATTTTAATAGAACTAATATTTTTATATTAATAGGAATTCAAACAAATATTTTTTTCAGATATAATAAAATGATGTTCATTTTATATTTGTAAATATAATTAGATTTATAACATTCGCTCATGCATGAAATATTCCTGGCGCATGCGCTCTGATGTTTGTACTATGTATTTATAGATTCTTGTAAAATCCAAAGAAACTGCAATTTTATTGTTCCTGGCCTAGCATCTCGGCTTCTATCCTTTTCCCACCGCCTTAATGAAGCTTCTCTGTGCCTTTTCTATAAATATTTTCATGATAATTTTTCTGATGAGCTTTTACTCGAGACTTTATGAATTTCAGTGCAGTACTAGATTGGCGTTAAGGTCTCATCCTTTTTATCGTTGAAACGGTTAACAATTTCTTCTCTCGCGTTTCTCGTTTGTGGAACTCTCTTCCTGTTTCTTACTTTCCAGTTATTTATTATATATTTGATGTCCTGAAAAATTTAATTGCTCGAAATCAGACGCTTTTACTTGTTTTAAGAAAATCTATTAAATCAGACGCTTTTACTTGTTTTAAGAAAATCTATTAAATAAAATAAGAGCTACGTTTAAAAAACTGAGGAAAATAGATAAAGATTTATTAAATTTATACTGTTAGTTGGTTTCCTTTACTTTACTTTCTTTCAGCTACTAATCTCATAAAGCATTCGAGACATCTCCGAACATTATGTATAATTATTTTTAACCTTATTAATTAAGTAATTCAGAATTGTTTAATTATTTCCAATTGATCTTCCGTACAAAAAATAATCTAAATAATCTAATAAAGAAAACAGAAAAGAAGATGATTTTAAAAATATTTCAAACTCGAAAATAATGTTAAAGTTTAAATTCTTCGATTCCTCAAAGAGATTTATTTAATAAAAAATATTTGTCCTCAGCATACGGAAGGATTTCAAAATCCCATTGAAAATTACAAATAATTCTTTCCAAAAATAAATATACATTTTTTTCATGTCAAATCTGATATAAAATAAACTATTTTAGTAAATTTTGGAAGAACCAACTCTCCATAAAAATATATTCTTCAAGTTTTATTGAATTATTTTTTGTCAGATTTCAGGACAAATTTTCAAGATGTTTTTATGTAAAAAACTTTTACTGAAGTAATATTTTCAGGGATTTTCTTTATAAATCTATTTTTTAGGCATATATTGATCATTACCAACAATTTTAAAAGTGTTCATGACGTATTGAAATGAAAGCGATAACTGACTAAAAAAGATTTTACACAATATTTTCAAATAAAATAATCTACCGTATCGAGTCTAGTGCGAATTTTTATGATCAGTTTTTTCGTAAAATATAGGGAGTCGTACTATAAACAAGTAATTATTTTGAAGTGGTTAAAAATCATGCATTTCCGGTGACCAACTGCACTTTTCACAGGAGTTAAAATTCGGGCAAAGAAACTGATGGACGGCACTAGGCATGAGTATATACTGTATTCAGTATGCACTTCCTTCGTTGATGAATAAGGGCCGGAAATTTCAGACGGATAATACCCCGATTTTCGGTTAATTTTTAGAAAACAAGGGTAGTGTTGTTTTTTTTTCTTTCATTTCGAATAAACGCATCTATTCTAATGTTACTTAGTTTTTCCGCATCTGTCTATATTTCTAAGATGAGGCATTATCCACACTATGGCACAGTGGATAAAGGCGTTGGTTAGATCCAGTGACAGGACCCAAAGAGTGTGAGTTCAATACCCGCTTAAGGCAGTGGAGAACTTTCAGAGGGAAAATTAACAGGAGATAACTGACATCCATTAGACATGGCACGTGAAACTAGAACAGTCTACCCCAGTGAGCGAAATAAAGGGTTCAGTTCGACTTTCCAACCCCCTGAAGAAGGCCGGAACGTACAACGGCTGAGACGTTGTAATAAATATGGCGACAAAGATGAGGACAATAGTCCGAATAATGTAAATAATATTAGTTTTTCCAGTAACTATAAAAAGCATACATTTTTTTTCTTTTCTCGTTACACCTTTCATAACTTTACGGAACTTACACCTTTCCATCCCAAGCTCTTTAGAGCTACACTTTGAAACTTCTGGGTTCTTATCTTTTCTCTTCTTAGACTTTTGAGACAATTATTCAATGAGAGCTATGGCTTTTGTTTTTTTTTTAAGTAAATCACCCCAAGCAAGGCGTGAGTGTCATTAGCACGCAAGGGGTTACACAGAGTGAGAGCAAGAATAAAGAGGAGTTTTTGGAAAAAGGATAAAGAGAAGGACAGGGATCAAAGGTGAAGGCATCAGATGATGTCGATTGAGATTATATTTGAATATTTGAGGATTATAGCTATCAGAGAAGCAAGTGATAGGAAATGAGTTCCGCTGACGGAAGGTACTAATTAAGAAGCTGTTGAAGTAGAAGAGGCGGCTACATTTAACTGTTTCAACAGTGGAAGGGTGGGACCGAGATTCCAACATAGCGGCATGCTTAAATTCATGCAGTTTGGATACTAGTGAAAGTAGCTCGTCAGAGCAGTTGTCATGAAAATACTTGTAGAAAAGACAGAGGGAAGCCACAGCACGTCTGTGAGAAAGTGAGTATTGACGAAATGCCAGATCAGGATCAATGACGTTACATATCAGTCTTCGGATTTTGTCGAGGACCTCGAAATGAACAGCGGGAGACACCAGACCATATATGGCGGCAATATTCCAGGTAAGGACGAATGGCTGATTTGTAGATTTGAAGGAAGGACTCAGACGAGAAAAACCTTCTGGCGTGACACAGAGAACCAACTTTCTTTGCGGTAGATGAGGCTATAGATTTTTATTTGTAGGGTTCGCTGCGGGTAGGTGAAACCATGAAAGTTGAACCCGCGTATAAGGGTGGCATTCTGTGTGTGTGTGTTTGTGTGTGTTTGTGTGTGTGCGCGCGTGCGTGCGTTTGCATGTGTGTGTCATCAGCGTTTTTATTTCAATAAACTTGTAGAAATATCGGTAAAGACAACTATAGGAGTGTCATGGCTTTCATACCATTCACTTTCATTTATTCAACTCAAAAAATTTCCTTTAAAATCTTTCTTTTTGAAACAAAACAAGCACCACGCTTTCTTCTCGAAAGCACTCTTTTGATTCTAAACCTCTCCTTCGTAGACTTTTTTTTTATTTCTTTTAAGACTTTTTTTCCTCATTAATTCTTTATTCTTTTATCGCATTGTCTCACTCCACAAGTCTCCGCCATTTTTTCTTCTCTTCAAATATGGCTGAAGTGTCATAAAAACCCAGACCAACTGGCGCCGGAAGCGGAAGTCGCCCAGTTAGCACAAGCCAATCAGCAAATGTCTATTAGAAAGTCATTTTCCGCGTGGAGGCGCCTCGCTGTCCACCCACGAGCTTCCAGATGCAGGCTTTCGTTTCTTTTGCAGTTTCGTTCCATACTTACAGAGGAAGGGCGAATAAAACAATCGTACGAATTACTTATCATTACAGAACAATTGTCTAAACGGGAGAGACTCGGATGACAACAAAGAAAACTTGAGAATTTTTATTCTGATCGATTGATGTTAGAAAGAAGAATAGATAAGTGACATGAGGAAAGAAGACAGAAGGTTAAGAGATGAAGAGAGTATGTAAAGAAAAATACCTTCAATAAAGTGATGGAGAGGAGAGAAGAATAAAAAGCGACAATGAAAAACAAGGAACAAGAGAAGAAAAAAACGGTCGTTAAGAAATGTTTATGAGAAAACGGAAAACATGGAACAAGAAAAGAAAAAGTCGTTAAGAAGCTTTTATGGAAAAATAAAAAAAAAAAACATAGAACGATAAACGAAAACAAAGTTTGTTAAAAGGTTTTATACACACGCGCACTAAAACACACACACATATATATATATATATATATATATATATATATATATATATATATATATGTTCAATTTTTTATGAATTCCTTTCTTTTTTTATACATTTCTCACTCATTTGTCTTCCCCTCCCTTTCTATATATTTATACAAGGCAATATTGGCTTAAATTTTCTTTCGTCCTTTTTCCTTTCTTATTCATTCCCATTGTCCCCCTCTCTCTCTCTCTCTCTCTCTCTCTCCCTCTCTCTCTCTCTCTCTCTCTCTCTCGTGAGGAATTTATCAAACGTTTCTTCTTTCTTTCTTTCTTTCCTTTTCATCCCTGTTCCTCACTCCCTCTCTTTCTATTTATTTATTCAAGACAGTTATTATCTAATGTTTCTTTCTATCTTTCTTCCCCCCTCTCTCTCTCTCTCTCTCTCTCTCTCTCTCTCTTCGTGACGGCGGTTGCCTTTCTTTCTCATTTGTCTCTTCCTTCTTCTGCCTCACTTTATCTCTATTTTGATCATTATTGTCTTACTTTCTTTTCTTTCTTTCTTTCTTTCTTTCTTTCTTTCTTTCTTTGTTGCTTGTCATTTTCATTGTCTTTTCTTTTGCTCCCTTTCTTTCTTCCTCTTCATTGTTTCCCTATACTTTTTCATTTCCTTTTTCTTTTCTTCTCCCCCAACCACATCTCCTTTCAAAACAAATTCTTTAAAATTTCAGTGTTTGTATTTCTTTAAACTAAACAAAACTGAAAGCTACGAGTTCGATTCGAAGCGTCCTTGTTTTCCCGGATGTTGTTAGACATCAGATTACTTCCTGACACCGGAAGTTGAATAAGTAATCCGGTCCCCATCTCTATTTGCTTTTAATGAACGCAGATTTTTACATCGTGCACCCACCTTAATTGACACAGAAACAATAGTTGACAATCGGAAGCAGCAGATAAGTACTAAACTGATTTGAACTTGCAAAACACACGCTTCTTCTGTTAGATTGTCGTCACTTTTCTCGAACTGAATTCACAGTTACGAGGTGCATTCCAGAAGTTTTGAGACTTTTCCAGAAGAGACCTTTATTAATTTCAAAAAAGTACAAAACTCTAATCTTCTTCAAAGTGGGATTTTCTAACTTCAATGCACTTGTTATAGCGGTCCAGCCACTTCGTAAAGACCACCAAATGTCACGGGGGGGTAATTTTAATGCCCATTAACCATCTCCCTGCTGTCACTGTGTCTTTCCTTCTGTTCATCACTGAGCACCCTGGGTAGAAACTTTGCACAAATTTTGCGCATGTCCATATTTTCATGAATAATTCTGTGTACAATTGCCACACAAACCCCAAGCTGTATGGTTATTGACTTTATAGACACATGACGATCCTCATCCAGAAAATTGAGAATTTTCTCAAGCAGCTCTGATGTTCTGACGTCCACTTCCACATTGTCTCTCTCCCACATCACTCATCGTCTCTCACACCCTTCGCCCACCCTTGAACCTCTTGTACCAGCGGAAATCAGATGCTCGGTTCATACAAGATAATCGACAAGCAGACACGGAAGACGAAGGTAAATTGAACAAGTGTATTGAAATAACAGATATATACAAAGCAAGAGTGTTAGTAATAAGCAGATAGAAGTGTCCGTCCGAACGATCAGGTTACAATGCGTCTCGGCTGCTCAACGACTGCCTCAACGACTGCCTCCACGACTGCCTCAACGACTGCCCGACGACTACATCAACGACTACCCGACGACTGTCTAACGATTGCCCGACGACTGCCTCAACGACTTCCTAACGACTGCCAAACGACTACATCAACGACGGCCGAACAACTGCCCGACAGCCTCCACGACTGTCTCAACGACTGTCTCAACGACTGCCCGACGACTGTCTAACGACTGCCCGACGACTGCCTCAACGACTGCCCGACGACTACATCAACGACTACCCGACGTCTGTCTAACGACTTCCCGACGACTGCCTCAACGACTGCCCGACGACTACATCAACGACGACCCGACGACTGTCTAACGACTGCCCGACGACTGCCTCAACGACTGCCCGACGACTGCCTCAACGACTGCCCGACTGCCTCAACGACTGCCTCAACGACTGCCTCAAGAAACTAGACGGGTAACGGCATTGGTAAACCAGCTGCTGTTATGTTAAATGCGCAGTTGCTGTAATGGATAATGGCTCAGAATTGTTAATCATAGAACCGAGTTCCAATTCCATTTGGATTCGTTATATTCACTTGAGCGCAAATAACCTTCGTAAATATATGAATCCACCTCTTCTCCCCCCAGCTATGGGTTAATTAGTAAACCTTGTATCACTAAACAATCATAATATATAAAAAAAACTCTTAAAATCTCAAAAATATTTTATGGCTTTAAATAACGTGCAAAGGTTTGATAAGCCATAGAAAATAAATCAATCATATATATATATGTGTGTGTGTGTGCTTAAACAACAAGATTTCATCTAAGTTTTTTTTTAAATTCAACTGACAATTTTTATGAATGCTGAAAGTTGCATTATAAGAATATGGCTAATTTTACCATTACGTTGTCTTTAGCAGTGAATTGACATTTGGATAGAAAGATAAACTTCATGTTAGAATACGAAATAGAAAAATTTAAGAAATTTAAGACATTTCAGTTTGTTATTTGTAGTACCAAAGAAGCACTTAATAATTAATATATACTTACCTAAACTTAGACATTTTGCTATTCTTTTTTGTCAATATTTTCTGAGTAATTTTAATTTCTTATTTGTCCACTCCCATCTCATTTGAAATGAGATAATGGTTTGTGTGGTTAGTCTGATTGACCATTTTGAATTCTTTCTTTTTTTGTTATTTAAAACATCAAGTTACTGTTTACTCTTTGCATTTCATTTGAATTAAAATTTATTTCCTGTGGTTGATTATATTGTTTAATACAAGAGTGATTAAGCTATGGCCTACAGACCACATCCAGGCTTACAGCTTTATCACGTTGAAATACTGGTTCTCTTAAGTTAAGTAACATTGAGTTAGTTATTATTATCATTATTATTATCTCCCCCCAAAATCTGAAAATATTGTCTGGCTTTAAATAACGTGCAAAGGTTTGATAAGCCATAGAAAACGAATCAATCAATCAAATACTGGCATGTATTTTAGATTTATTTACATTCTCTGGGATATAAATGTTTAGAAACTACTGTGTGTACGAAGTGAGGGATCAGTTTATATATTGATTGTAATATAGAATTGATCCCCCATTTTAAATCTACATCATAATTTCTTGTTTGTATCAAATTCTGATTACGTATGAATCCACTTCTTCTACCCATCCTCTTCCACCTATGAATTAGTTAGTAAGACTTGTATCATGAAAAATCATTATCTGCGAAAAAAAAATTGTTACAATCTAATAATATTTTCTGGGTTTCAATAATCGGCCAATGGGTGATAAGCCGTAAAAAACAAATCAATCAAAACGCTTACATAACTTTAAGCGTTTTTGTTTTGTTTTGTTTTTTGGGGGGGGGGTTCTTTTAATATGGCATATATAACATTCGTATTCTCGACGGGTATGTTGTGAATCGAGGTTGGTAACAATCCTATACTGGTTTAAATATGTCTATATTGACTTCTTTTAGCATAGAAGCCGCCCTTTTGGGGAGACTTTAGGCTAGCTCCTGCGAAGAGCTTTTAGACCTTCGCCATTTTACCTTCAGCGTCCTATGTATGTAAAAGTTATAAGAATTTAGAAATAATAAAATTATTTTTATCTTTAATTCAACATAATCTTTCTTCATATACGCAACCGATCTCCGTAGTTTGTTTACATTTATTTTGCGCGCACTTTTTATTTTTCTTTATGATCCCTTTACTCTTAAAAAAACATAAGGGGCCCCGAACTATATAATATTTCGAATATGTCACAATGCGCGTGCTAAAAAAAAGAAAAAAACACATGAGCAACGTACCGTGCCCTGCTCATGATTTAATTCCGGTTTAATTAGACGATATTAATTGCAATTGCGACGAAACGGGAAATTAAAGTTAAACCTTTAATAAAGAATTTTTTTTCACTCTTTTTGTTATTTAAATTTAACTTTAAATGAGTTATTTATTTAATATATTATTTAATATATTATTTGATATATTTATTTAATATATTATTTAAATTTTAATCGCGTGTAACTACAGTAGTTACTACCTGTTACTTCAGGTTGCTTATGACCAGATCTAAAGACAGACGGACGGACGGACACACGTACACTGCGCTTTACTATTATAGAAAGACTCAAAATCGTGAAACAACTGAAGCTTGAATAAATACTTTTATTCTTTACCCCCTGACCCCACATTCCAGACATTATTAACTCACCAAAAGCACGAAA